ATGAATGGATGAGTTAATACTGATGGACTCTTTACTCAGCAGCCTCTACCATCAGTGTGTGAATGTGTATGAATGCATGAGTTAATACCAGTATTTCCCCTACCATTATATTGGTATAATGGTATAATTCCCCCCGCCCCCCCTGAAGGTCAAGTTAAAAAAAAAAAAAGTTTTTTACTTGAATCAAACGCTGCAAAATAAACATTAACAAAAAAATTGAGACAAAAACATTGAATCCGAGAAGCCGTATTGTAACAAAGTGAGACTGAGGAAATGTTGTTGACTAGTTAGCTCACTTAGCATTAGCATTAGCAGTGAACATGTCGAACGTTTGCTTGCATTAATACTTGTTGTTGTGAACGTTACATTTTGTGATATCTCTGTCTGTCTACATAAATTAGTCTGACAGGATGCTGGTATAGGGGAAGCAGTAGCTCAGTCTGTAGGGACTTGGGTTGTGAACCTGGAGGGTCGCCCGCTCAAGTCCCAGTGTGGATTAAAATATGAAAGTTGTGTAGCAGCACCGCTCTGTCATCTCTCCACTAATGCATGTCCACAGGTCCTGTTTGTGCATGTGCGTGAGAAACATGTCTCTCAATAACAGAGTAAAACCAGAATTTCCCTCAGGGATTAATAAAGTATGTAAAAAAAGAAAATGAATTTAATTTCTCTTCTTGGGGTGTGTTATCTCTTGTTATGAAATGTAGCTCAAATGCTAACGTTATCCCCATCATGAATGTCTCCAACCAAGTTAGTAACAGTAACACTATATCACTTCTCTGGGTGTTGTGTGTTCCTCTCCTTTGTGTTTCTCCATAGGTATTAATAAGATGAAGAGAAAAAGGACTTTCTGTGCTTCCGAATGGCAAAGTTTCTCCACAACCTGACAGTAGACGGTCCCTTCTCTCTGTGCTGTATCCTGTTAGGACATACTGTTCAGGAGGTCGAGATCTGTTCCTACCTCGTCTGATCCGTTCAGTGTGGAAGTGCGCCATTAGCCCGCTTCATGTTATTGACACTCCAGCTCAGATGTGAACGTTGGCTCAGTAAATAATACAAAACTTCACATTGCATGTAAACAATTTAACAACCCGAACCGGCCGCAACTGTCCTCGTTTATTTATTTTTTTCATTCTCCTTTGTTTTGATTTGGAGGCGCACGTGAAGTGACGTTTTACATTTAATTATGCACAGCATTGTGGGTGTTAAAATACAACTAATTTCCTAAAAGACTGCACAACTAAATCTTCCCTTTTCCATTTCACATCTGCACAGCTGTCCCAAGAGCCAGCCTCTAGTTTGGACACTTTAATGCTAACCACACAATTATTTAAATCGCACCTTTTAACGTTTGCACTGAGTGTTATTTAATGTCTGTTTTTTTAACATTTTATTCTTTTTAAACATTGCTAAAGTTTTTGATTCATCTAGGGGTATTCTTTAAATCTTTTTTTGGGGTTAATTTATATGTATGGGGGGGGGGGGCGTCGGTTTTGTGGTTCATTTGTAACAAATGTCTCATGTCATGTACGTCTTTGTAACCTGCTTTGAATTTCCCTCGGGATCAATAAAGTATCTATCTATCTAAGTGTTTATAACAGAGGCCGTTTATCCTCTGCTGGATGGGACGCTTAAAAAAACATTTGGGCTAGTACGAGTATTCCCACTTCTTCAGGCTACGCCCCGGGGTATATTAAAGCCCCTCATGCTCCTGAATAGATGTTTTAAGTGTGAATCTTGGTGAGCAGGTTTTTCACATTGCATCACAGCCCTCGTCATCAGAGTATAAATGAAGAATGTTGATGTGTTTAAACTCACTTTGAGCAGTCGACACACTTTAAAAGGTAATTACTTTTAAAGGATGATGTCATATCATCTGGTGTATAAGCACAATCGGTCTCAGCATTCACTCGTATCTTCAAAGAAAAGAAGCCTATGAGCCTGAACGCAGCAGGGCTAGTTTGTCACATGGTGGTTAAAACTTGTTCTAACTTCTCAAACGAGCTTGACAGCCACATTGACGGTAGTTTAGGGAGTTGTGGGTGTGGGTCTTTGACCTTATAAGGAAACTCCAACCCTGCCAGCTGCGCTCGTGAGAAGCACTTAAGAGTCATTGTCATGCTGACTAATGGACTCTTGAGGTCCGGTGCGGCAGTGTCTCAGTCTGTGGGGGCTTGGATTTGAAACTGAAGGGCTTCCGGTTCCAGTCCCGAAGTGGACCAAGTCTGGAAATTGGTCTGGTAGCTGGAGAGGTGCCAGATAACTTCCTAAGCACTGCAGAGGTTTATTTCAGACTGTGTGTGTGTAGCATGTTCAACAACAACAGTGTACCAGTGAATATCTCCTTTCAGGATTAATAAAGGATATCTTCTCCTTCTTTGTATTTGATTTAAAGTATTTTATTTTCAAAGTGAACATCCACATTATCAGAATCAGAATCGGGGTTTATTGCCAAGTACATTCACACATACAATGAATTTGACTTGGTGTATTGGTGCTAAACAATTAAAAGTAAATAAAGCAGAACTAGCAACAACTTAAATAATACAGTATAAGAAGATATTACAATATATAAAATAGAATTTAAAAATGTAAAATATAAAAAATAAAAAATAAAAAACAGCTGTTTAAGTTAGCTTAGAGCTGCTTCACATCTGCAGTCTGTGTAAACACCAACATGCCAAGAGACATCCACCAACAAACCCTTTCAGTGTGATATTATATGTCATATTATCATAAAAACAACAAGTCCTCCATCCCCCACCAGGGTATAGGTCGTTTGTCCTGGCCCTAAAATATGACCTACAGGACCCAACACTTACTCCTCTTCCTCTTTTTTCTTTCCTCTTCATTTTTATTTGTTGACTTTTAATGACAAATTTTGTTTTTTACAGCAACAATGCATACAACGCTTAGCAGGGCAACAAGAGTGAGTGCTGTCGAATGGGGCCCCATTAGATAGGTTTCCAATGTTGTTGCAAAATTTGCACATTTAGGGCCCCGGCTTTAGTTTAAGTTTGTGAGCCCCTCAAGGGGCCCCCTTACTAGTCTGGGGCCCCATGCAGTAACCTGCCTTGCCTGTTCACAAGCAGTTCAATTCATTTCAATTCAAAAAACTTTATTTGTCCCCGGGGGGCAATTCAAAGGCACACAGAGCAGTAAATTAACAACAGTGCAGGTAGACAAAACATTTTAAACCTAAAATTTTAAAAAATTATAAAACCTAGAATAAGAAAAAAACCCTAAGATAAATAAAATGATCATGTCCTAAATGATCTGACACCAACAGAAACTTAAAAAAACACTTTTTGCAGATTTTATACAAACAAAGGAAACCATCTTAGAGCCACCTTAGAAGGGTTTCCTAATGTCATTGAAAACTTTGCATATTTTGAGCAGCTGCTGTGTTTTAAACTCTGTCAGACCTGGGGCCCCCTACTGGCCCTGCACCCCCTACTGGCCCTGGACACCCCTGACACTGGACTCACTGAAATCATAGTTTCTATCCATTAACATTTTCATTATTAACCAGAAAAAAACTTTTGAAAGTAACAACAATCACCTCAACATGAACTTCATTTAGTAGCAAACAGCTATGATACTTTATACCGTAAAACACCTAATAGAAGCACATCCCAATTTAAAGCCCACCCAGCCCCTTTTACCAGTCTGGTGTTTCTGCACGTTTTGACAAATAAAGGCTCTCTTAGAGGCTCCTCTGCACTGCATCATTTTGAAATAGTTTCTGGAAAAAAAATTAGGAGGTAAGCAGAAAGACATAAACCACAAACGTGACCAACGACTTCTGTCCAACAAAGACAGAATGATGTGTGTGTGTGTGTGTGTGTATAGACCTTCTCTGCTTTGCTGTGCACACATTTTGTCTTAAATTAATTAAAGGTCTGTCCCAAATAAAGACACGCTCATTTCATAGACTGAGGTAAATAAAAGCCTGGGCTCTTATTAGAAGTTTTACGGTAGGTGACTGAATTTGACCTTCAGATGGCTTTGAGTGACATTTTAATTAATTACGGTAAGTTAGGCTTCATAACGGGGTCATAATAACATGTTTAATTATGAATCGTTTTGACTTTTGTTTAACTTCTTATCCAGCTGCCAAAATCAAACATCAATGTTTATGCAAAGAGAGAACAGACACCAGGCAGGTTTCTGTCTCACACAGAACAGAGTGATCCTGCCCACAGGATGATGCCCCGCGCATAGTCCCTCACACACTTCAGTTACCTGTGTTACTTCTGCAAACCCGGAGATGACATCTCCAGTCACCAAAGCTATGATCGAGTCCTACGCGCTCATGGTGATGATCATGGGCACGTTTTTCGTCTATTTCTGCGCGATGGTTTGGGCTTTTTGCAACCCGAAGCTGAGCGGAGCAGAGGAGGAGTGCGGGGCTGGGAAACAAGCAGCGGAGCCGGGGGACGACAACATCTGGGTCTGCGCCCCGAATCCGGAGCGTGGTCTCAGCAGGTGCTCCTGTACGCATGTACCGGCCCCGCCTTACACCAACAACACATATGTGATGAACATGTGGGATGACTCTGATCGTCTGCTGCTGCCTGACTGCACTGCGTTTCACCGCCCGGATCACGGACTTATCAACCACACTGGATACAGTCCATCCTGCGAGGCACAAGTTGAACAGCTGTGTGTCTGCACATGTCCAAACTGCGCTTTTGTTGCTTCATGAGTGTTAAGGATGAAAAAGAGACAGACAAAGTAGATGAAGGAGCACAATATTCAGGGTAATTGTAAAGCCACTGTTACTACAGACTGTTCATTTGTTGCTACAGTAAGTAATGATACATATTTATATAACTGCTTATCTTCTCCTGCTGTGAATACATTTTTATTCGGCTGTATCAGACACAAGTGTTTATTCTCTGAGGCTGCACAGATAGTGTTTCCGGTGACCCTGAGTCTGAGACCAGAATAAATCCCAAAGTTGTGTATTATGTGATATATAGGCAACATCATTTTTTTATATATATTCTTTTTATTACATTTTTGAACAAGCAGGACAAAGAAACATACACATGACAGCAGGGACTTAAATGAGCAAATTAAAGATCACATAGGATTTAAAAACAATCGAAACAAGACATCAAAATATTTTGCAAGACTGTGTCATACATGGACATATCTATATCACAGATGTCAGACACTTTCCAGTTGTAATAATTTCTCATACAGAGCCGCCGATGTTTCCAGATCAATATCCATCTGCAAGGAGAAAAGAAGTCACCATATGAACAGTTTATTATCATGACGATTCAAACTGAATTTAATTGAGTAGTGTTCCTGTTCCTCTGCGTACCTTACTCGGTCGTGTGTAGTTGTTACCGAGTCCAGATGTTAAGCTGTGGTACTTAGCTTGAGGGTCGAGGGATTCAGGTCTCTGCTTATAAAGCCAGAACTGCAAGACAGACGCAGCATTCACGAGTTCATCATGTGTATACCAAAGTGTGAAAGTTTAAAATGAGTTGTACCTACCAGGGCTCCGGCTCCATTGTAAGGGGTCAGGGTGAACGTGTTGGTGAAAATTCTGATCTGAGATCATAACAATAAAAGATGCATAAAGATTAACATTTTAGTTTTTTTTGTATTCTTGTGATTTGTTTCCTCAGAGTTTCACTCACAAGCCAAAAAAGGGGCATGAGTAGAGTCCAGAGGAATGCTGGGAAGGAGGGCAGGATCCTGTAGGTCAGATTAGTCATCACAAACCCGGGACAAATGACAGAGGAATACAGACCCTGGAGGGCCAAATAAAGGATGCATTCAAATAAAAGTTCACCTCGCCTGCTTGGGCGATGCAGAGTACAGGGGTGTGTGAGAGCGGACCTGTTTGTTGTAGTGTGTGTTCAGCGCCAGGCTGAGCAGGTCGGAGGCATATTTAGAGGAGCTGTAAGGTTGGGTGTCTCTTCTGTGCTGAATATCGTCTAAGTTAAAAGCGGAGCGGTGAGCGTTACTGGAGGAACTCCAGATCAGCTGGGAGGACCGGCCGGCGTGGCACAGGATTGGCTCCAGCTCCCTGATCTTGGTCCAGAACACAACATTAAAATTGTTATATCTCTTACACAAACATGTCTCTTACATTCTGTCCTGAATCAGAAAGCAGCTTTGACTCAAGAGAGGAGACTGGGATGATTTGGATTCAGTGTGCACAGAAGCTCTCAGACAGCTCTCTGTTGAAGGTAACTGACACATGTTCCCGTTTCATCTGCAAACACACAGTAAGCAGAATACTGTTCACAACGACCTCAGGGCTCCAACACTTCAGAATGTTAATTTTTAATGAGCAGCGTTGCTAAGTGACAGATCCAGTGTCACCTATATTTATTTCACCAAGGACAAACAGCAGACAAGAACGAGTCTCTCTGCAGAAAACAAGTAAGAGCAAACTTTGAGATGAATCAGAAACACTCACAAGCAGGAAGTGACCAAAGAGGTTGGTTGCAAACACGTCTTGCAGGCCGTCGGTGGTGACGCAGTCTTTCTGTGTCAGAATCCCCTCGCCGGTGGCAAACATGGCAATGATCTTGCTGCAGTAAAAACGTTAAATCTGAGCTGTAGGATGGAGGCTACATGAATACACTGCAAAAACTCAAATCTTAGCAAGTGTATCGTTTCTCATTTCTATTCGGATATATCTCTTTACACTTCATATAAGCCACACCCACCTGTCGAGTCAGGATAAACATCTTATTTCGAGATTTTGTAAAAAGCAAAAATGAAGGCCTGCAAAAATCTGCCGATGCAGTAGGAAAATGTTAATTATTGCCATATGATTATCTAATTAAGATTAATACTTCTTATTTCAAGACACGCAACAAGTAAAAAACTGTTTGCTGCATTGGCAGATTTAGTACAAGCCACAACCTCCAGTTTTTAAACATAAAACCAATTGTGAGTGTCCACTAGAGGCTGGCTGCAGAAGCACAGGAAGTCACATACACACCCATTCTAAAAAGTCTGTTTTTACAGCAGAGATTAACATGTTTACAGCCTGGTTCAAAAAAAGAAATAGGTGTGATTAGCTCATGTCTTGATGGACACACACTGTACAGGGGGGGGGGGTGATTGTTTTGATGACTCATCAGTTTTGATTTGATGAAGGATAAGAGTTATTCACAATAAGGCGTGTAGCTGACCTGATTGACAGGTGGGCGTGGTGTAACAGTTTGTCAGGAGGTTTAAAACCCGCCTGAGACATTAGAGTTGGACACATTATTTTCAATGACATTTTTCTTTGTTAATGTTTGTGATTAAATTGGCAGTAAAGCGTGCATTCATTTTCCTCCTGTTGTCTTTTGTATTATTTATTGGTAACATGGTTGTCTCCCTTCTCTTCACAATCCCTTTTTGTTAAAGTAAGACATCTGACAAATCATTTATTTTGCAAAGATTCAAGTTTTTGCAGTGTAAGCACATTAAAAATAGATACAGTACAGGCTGGACAAATCAGAGTATGAAAGGCCACAGATGCAGCTCTGAAAGTCCTAGTTGCTGCTAAAGTGGTTCGTATAATACACGCTGTCATACAGTGGAGGAGAAGCTGAATGTGAGCATGTAAAATATGCAACGTACCTGGAGAAGAGGCCTCTGAAGAAAGCTTTCACATCAACCTGCGGGTTTGGCATGATGCCTGCGTTCAGGTAGAGGTAGTCCAGCCGGTTATACCTGCGATCATCCAAAGTCCTTTGTATTTAGCTGTGTTACACGCTGCACATAAAATACACATCTACAACATGACCTCGTCTAAATCAACGACTATTTGGTGCATTTTAGTGCTGTGAGTCTCTCCTCTCACCTCAGTTTGATTTCCTGTGCAGCATTTAAAACGGATGTGATGCTGCTGGTGTCCATCTGCAGGAGGGCTACCTGGGCAGTAGGGTGAGAGGCCAGGAGGGGGCGGAGCGAGCTGCCTGAGTCTTTCTCATGTTCCTGCACGCCAAACACAGCTGGAGACCCTCTGTGTCCTGTGAAAGGAGACGCTCACACAGCGACAGGCCAATCCCGCTGCAGGCACCATGCAACACATCCTGTCAGTCATTAAGGCGCCTCCATGAAGTATTCTCTGCACTAACAAATTAAACAAATCCAGAGCATTCAGGAGCAGAATCTAAAGTTAGAAGGAGGACATACTGACTGCTGCATTGTTGTCAGAGAAGCCAGCACTTCAACATAGCATGTTTCCTTAATGATCATATAGTAAGGTACCTTTATCATTTCACTCACTACACATCTCACTGATTGGACCTGTAAATGCATAAATATAATCTAAGTATATGTGCAATATTGTAATTATTCTCCTGGTTCAGATGTATGATTTAACCTTTTTCTGCATCCACTACACATTCAAGCATTTGTTGCACTTTGAACCATTGTGCAACTTTATCAGCAACCTGTTCTGCTCGAGAAAAACTCTGGCTCTTTAGAGCAAAGTGGAAATGAGCCAGGTGTGTTTTATTTGTACACAAACTTAGATATAACACTGAATCTGTTATATATACAATGTTACAATGATGACATTATCAGCCTTAATACTCAAAAGTAATCCACAAACATGCAGCTGTATGACAGAACTGTGTTTAGAAAAGAGTTCTCTTACTGATACAGAAAGATTTAAATAAATAAATCAGATATGAAGTCCATACAAACATTAATAAACACATAACTGAAAGTCATATTAAGCCCTTAAATGTGTCTCTACAGATATTGAAGAAGGATCTCCTGAAGGATGGAGCCATGACACTTGAGATGCCAGACTTTAGAAAACAGTAAAACAAAGTAAACAATTTGAAACACAATATTTTACCTGTTTGCTCCCGTCACTAAAACCACCTTATTCATCTTCTTTTCTCCAACCTGAAAAAGTAACTTAATCTACTGCTCACTGATCCTCACAGCAACAAGTCCTGTGACTCCTCCGTGGGAAATGTTCAGTTCCTGTGAGGTCACACCATCAACTCCACCTCTGTGCCCTGATTGGACAGCACAGCAGCACACAGCCAATAAGATTGTAATACCAGTGGGCTCAGTTTGCGGACCGCCCACACGGGGTTACATACAGTGGTGTGGTGCTGCCTGAAGAAGAAGTGAATATTCTTTACTCCTGACGTGTGTCGCGTCCTGTAGAGGATAAACGGCCTCTGTTTTAAACACTGACTTCTCCTTCATCTTTAGTTAAACTAATGAGCATTTTATATTTACACATTAACTCTTAACTTCTGCTGCTTGACTTCAGGAAGTAGAGATCATTATGAAATGAATATTGGCCACAGAAGAGGAGCAGATTTTATAATTGTTACTGTCCAGGAGACTATGTGAGACAGGAAGGGGGGGGGGGGTCTCCTGAGGTAAAACCAATAAGATTAGCTGAAGTAGCAGACAAAGCCAGGTGAATTCTCCTGATTATATCCTGCTGTGTTCTCACATCAGCTCACTCTGACTTTTTGCAGAATAAATACGAGGAGGCTGGAGGAGAAACTCTGAGTGAAGAGAGAAACATTCAGATGTTTGAGTGCACACATGACGCTCAGACTCAGATTATTTCAGGAGATTTCTGCAGGTGTGAAAGCCCTAATAGTGATGTATTATGAGTGAACTATTCCTGATTCCTAAGCAGTGTCGGGAGTAATGCATTACAAAGCAATACACTGGTATACCCAGATTCCTTTTTGTTGTAACAACTTACATGACACATATGTAATCAGTAATGAAGTTACATTCTCAAATAAAAAAAATCTTATATTAAAGGTGACATATCCTCCTCCTCTTCAACCAGTTTAAATAAGTCTCAGAGCTCCTCAAAACATGTGTGTGAAGTTTCTTGTTCTAAGTCCACTCTGATCCTGTATTTGATCATGTCTATAAACCCCTCTATTTCAGCCCTGCTCAGAACAGGCTGTTTCTGTGTCTGTACCTTTAAATATGTAAATGAGCTGTGTCTGACCACGCCCCCTCTCTGGACGGACTTGGGTGTACTCGGTCTTTCTCGCTCCATGTCCTATTGTTTACGATGAGAAGGCAGACTCAGAGGGCAGAACAAACACCTAGCTGTGGGAGTGTCACCCACCTGGGGGAAGGGCTACTGCCCTTTGTGATGTCATGAAGGGAAAACCTCCAAACAGCCTGTTTGAGCACACATTTTCTGAAAAGTGGAGCAGGCAGACGACGGAGAGGATGGACTTTTCTCATCATTGGGGGGTTTGTAGACGGACTAGAGACACATTAGAGTTAGAGAAACATGATGAAGTGGATTTGACCTTTAAACTGTACTCTACGGTGGCCCTGAAGTACGGTGGCCCTGAAGTGCAAAACACAACAACAAATAAGAAAACACAACGACAAATCAAAAAACACAAACACAAATCAAAAAACACAACCACAAATAAGAACACACAAACACAAATCAAAAAACACAATCACATTAACTCAAACCGGAAAAGGTAGGTACCTGCAGTCGACAAGGATTGTCGCTGATTGGACGAACGCAATGTCTGTCTTTTTAACCGAAAGCATGCTGCTTCCGCAAGTTGATTTGAAAACATGAGCGAAACAGGAGAGTCAGACTTGGTCTCTACTCTCAGAGAATATTTTGATGCAGGCCATACATATGAGCTGATATTGGATATGCTGTCGACCTTTCACAACATTCATATGAGTATCCGTACGCTAAAGACACATTTAAAAGAAGCAGGTTTGTACAGACGACGGAACTATTCTCCACTAGCCGAGGTGAGACGAGCCATTCAGACTGAGCTGCAGGGGCAACTCTTCGGCTATCGGACTATGTGGCAAGTTCTTCAACAAAAACACAAACTACGTGTGAAACGAGAAGTAGTAATGAGCTTGTTGAAACAACTAAATCCACATGGGACTGCTTTGAGAACACGCTGGAGGTTTACAAGACGCACGTATCATTCCATGGGTCCGAACTACATATGGCATGCAGATGGCTATGACAAACTGAAACCCTTTGGATTGGCCCTCTCAGGATGTATAGATGGCTTTTCAAGAAGAATAATGTGGCTTGTTTGTGGAGCTACTAACAACAACCCATCTGTCATCGCGCACAATTATATTAATTGTGCAAAAAGTGTTGGTGTGATCCCAATGAGATTAAGAACTGACCTCGGAACAGAAAATGGGACAATGGCAGCAACACAATGTGCCCTCCGCCATGCACATACGGACTACTATGGAGGCTCGTCAAGCCACAGTTACGGCTCATCAACAGGGAATCAGCGTATCGAGTCCTGGTGGTCCTTTTTCAGAAGAGGAAGGTATGTAACTATGTATTGCCTAGGGATCAGATCAATTATTCAATATTCACTATTATGAATTATTGTTTTCAGACCACTCTTTAAAATGCTGATAACATTCCTCATCTCAGCCCTCTAGATTATTTAATTAATTAAATATTTCTCCTCGTGTGTAAAAAAACAACAACAACTTTGCATTTAATGTATTCCTAGGTCTCAGTTTTGGATGGACCTGTTTGGAGACCTAAGAGACTCTGGACACTTCAATGGTTGCCATGAACACCAGTGCTTACTGAGATTCTGATTCAGTAATGTCCTGCAGAAAGACCTGGATGAATGTACGGACCTCTGGAACAAGCACAGGATTCGACCATCCAGACTCGCCTCATATCCTGGAGGGATTCCAAATGAACTCATTTTGTTGCCTCACAGGTAATCCACATCAACTCAGAGTTAAATGATCATAAACTGACTATTGTATTATAACAAATTGCACTGCACTCGTTATGGTAACTATATTTGGATTATTGTATATTTTTGTAAATTATAGTATTTAATATAATTTATAGGCTAGTTGTCCTGCCTTTGTTTACTTTCACATTTCTGTAGATCAACAAGCAAACACATCTAACTACACATTAACAAGGGCCATTTCAAACTACATTTCTAATATATTTGTAAAAACACTTTCATAATTCTATAATTGTCTGAATTTGCAGGTTTGGTTCAAGGGACTGCGGATTTGCTGTTGAAGACAGGGAACTAAATGTGTTTCCGGAGGCCAGGCAAACAATTGATTCATGCGGTGACCCAGAAATTCAGGTTTACCTACAACAGGCTGTGGAACAAAATGGATTACAGCAGCCACAAGATTGGAAGTCAGCCTCAGAACTGTACATTATTTTAAAGGAAATAGCTGGGCTATAGATATGGACTATATTGAAGCCCTTACCACATGTGGAAAAATGTTTCTGCTTTAGCAGGAGATGGCTTTAGGGCCATGCATTGCTGATTGTTAATAAAAGGACGATCTACCAAAATTCTCAAATGTGGTCCTTTCAATTTTCAGGTTTGGTAACTGGAATTCTTGCAAGCACAATATTTTAGTCTGTGTGAACTGATATCACTATTTACACTAGGCCTACATGTAGAACATCTAGTAGACAGTTTCCTTGTATAGTATGCCATGTTAACAGCAGATCCTGTATTAATGCTACAGAAGTCAAAAGCTAAATAATTCACAACAAATTACACAATTGACATCTGTACACACCAGTATTTTGCCATCATAACGGTATTTGTTTTATTTATTGAAAAATCAACTGGAATTTCCAGGGAACTTTGGCCACTATGAGCATCTTATATTGTGATGAATAATAAAGAAAAGCATAATACATCCCCTTTGAACAAACTAGGCAAAAATGAAAATGAAGCTCAAGCTGATATTTAAAAACATCCAAATCCAGGTGCATTCTGTATGCCAAAGTCCATGTTGGTCATGAAGACATTGTATGACTCCAAGAGCGGAAGCTTTAGTGCATTTGCACAGGTGTTTGCCATTGGGAATGGTGAATCCATTAAAAACTGGATGCATGGCGGAGATTCTATTCCCGCAGGTGGAAGTGATGGGACTCCTGTTGCAAACATCAACACCTCATGGAGGAACACAGATGTCACTTTTTCTGAAAGTAGAAAATCAACATTGTGTTGCATTTCTTTTGACTCTGCATTAACTTAAAATACATTAAGTGAAGCATTTGTCTCCTATTTTAGAGTTAAAGACAAATACAAGATTTACAAACAATACTACATTATTTACAAATATCTTACAAAACAGACAAACTTTCACAATCGAGAAGATAGTCTGCCCAAAATCCAAGTGTTTGGCTTTCTTTCTGCCGCCTGTTGCTTCCTGCTGGACTAAGGTCTGGTCTGAACATGCTTTCCATGTCTGCAGCAGTCAGGGTCTTGGCAGAGTGGTATAGGACAGGGGCCAGCACACTAGAATGCTGCTGCAATGCATACAGAAACTGCAGACTTGCAAGTCCATCTTTGAATCTATCAAGAACAATGATTGTGTAACGAATAATTTATCAGTTCATAAAGAAGAAATTAACTATCAACTGTTAACACAATGTATGCTCCTACAGACAAGGTACCTATGCCTCTTCTTTGGACATGTTTGTTATAACAAGAAACAAACTCAACTAAATATAAACAGGGTGGTATTAGAGTAAGTTGGTCAACCTGAGCATAAACCCGAATTCTGAGTTGATGAACCCTGAGTTTTTGGCTCCAGATCAGCTGATTGCTGTCAGTTATATCAACTCTAGTAATGTTAATTCTGGGTAAACATTGTTCATAATTTAAAATAAAACATTGGAGCTTAGATAGTATGTTGCCCCCACAGACTGTATTGCATCATGGAAAAAGGTAAATAGGAGACAGATTGTGCATTTGAATCCAGTGGACTTCAAGATATTAATGCATGTGCGCAGACGGTGCACAAGATTAAAAATATTAAATAATAATATTAAAATTTGTAGTCTATTTGTGTAGTGATGCTACTCAATCCTGCTGCTTCAGAAATATCTGATGTCAATGTCACACAATCCTGTCTGTAGCAGCTGTGATTAACATTTGACAAATTACACTGAATAATGGGCTGAAAAATGTTTG